GGATTGATTTTATTAACCTTCTTTTTTGGGAGCCCATGTGGTATATTCATTTTGACTTATTTGTTTCTTGTCATCTTCCACCTTTATTCTCTGTCTAGTACATGTTGTGGGCTGCTTCATTGCTTTCACAGCTTCTTTCCATTGAATCCCTTTCCCACGGTTTCCTTCCCTTACACCACTTCTTTGACTGTGATTTTTGGCCTTTTATTTCTTGTATCCTTCTTCCCGCATCAATTTCTGGAGTCTTTACTCCTATCATGCACCTTCCCTTTTCCCTGCATTTCAACCCTGTCCTCCATTGGAGGTACTTCGTCCGTCAAGCACTAGGATTACACCTCATACATTCATCTCCCATTCTCTACTTTGGGTGCCCGGATCAGTCAATCAATTTCTCACATTGTTGTCATGTCCCATTCATAGATCAGGAGGTATGAGATTCCCTCTGGTCTGATGAACTTGAAGTGAAGATGGTATGGTCGTCTTTCCTACAACGACCAAATGGCTGGGTTTTGGATTATAGTTGACTTGCTGCCGGTACGATCCTCTTTCATATCCCCACATGGATGTCAGTTCCCAGTGGTCTTGGTTTTGGATTGTAGTTGACTTGCCGCCGGTATCATCCTCTTTCCTATTCCTATCAGATGGCTGGGTTTTGGATTGTAGTTGACTTGATGCCGGTATGATCCTCTTTCCTACCCCCACATGGATGTCGGATCCCAGTGGCTGGGTTTTGGGTTGTAGTTGACTTACTGATGGTGTGGTCCTCATCCTACCTCCACGTGGAAGTCAGTTCCTGGTGGCTGGGTTTTGGATTCAGTTTATTTGCTATGTACTGTTCGTTGCACACCAGCTACTCAACACCTAGGGACACATCCTATTATTCCACCCACATTACTATCTTCTAAAGGATTGAGTATCCAATATCATGTAGTTCAGATTCCTATCCAAATATTGATTTCTCCCTTTTGGATGTGTTCCTTCCAATTTCTGCCCATGTCTGTGACATTTCCACACTGGGCAAAGAGTATACCTGGTACAGAAGTGGTGTGGTCTCCCACATATGATCATCTACTGTGAAGATTTACTCTTTTAGGGTGTCCTTCAGATGCTTTTTGTTTTTCCCCTCGAACTGGTCCCTCCACATATTCAGTGTGGGATTCTAGCTATTTATGTGAGAAGAGGTAATGTACTGTATTGGAAGTTATGATTTTCCTATACTGAAAATGTATTTCTTATAGGTACTTACCTCTTCTAACACTTCCCACCTTTCCTCCCCACTAAAAACTGGTGCTTCCATTTGCTGTCAAAAATCAAAGGGATAGTTTGGTAAAATTGAATAGAGGGAGTCACATGCATCAAGAGAGTATTACACACTCATATTAGTGGAGGTTTATCGCATGATGATTTGCATTGCAATTCCAGATGGATGGAGCTTCGAAGCTTGTGGCATGCACAAAAAAATTTTGTATATAAAGGGCAGCACTAAATGACAATAGCTATTTATGTGAGAGGAGGTAAGTACGTATTATAAATACATTTTCAGTATAGGAATATTATAACTTTACTAAGGTCTGCAACTGTTGGTTCTTTATCAAATTCCTCCATGATGTATTAGATATATCAGTCTCCTAAGAATATATGTCAAAATATTGTTAAGCCCAGTGTGGCACCTGCTTATTTCTCTTGATTATCGCTGATCAATCTTTTGACTTCAAAGGGGCCACTTTGCTCACTGTTGAACCAAGAGCAGTCTTTATACTATTATGCATATCACAGAGTTTGAAGCCACCTACATCTGATTATACAAGTTTTGCCAATATTTGTTGGTACATTGCCTTGCTGTCCCTTGTACCATGTGTTTGACAATTTTATTAAATAAACTGTTTTTCATGTAGTAAAATGTTTTTATACAAGCATACTCAACTTTTTTTAGTATGAGCTTAGCCTTTAAAAGATATTTACTTGCTCAGGAAATAGATTAATAAAGATAGCAATATGATTTTCAGGATCAGCAGCTGACATGGAATACAACAAATCCTGACTTAACTCCTTGTTTCCAGAAGACAATATTAGCTTGGGTTCCATTTGGGTTTCTCTGGCTGTTGGCTCCTTGGGAAACATTTAATCTTCTTACCTCAAAAAACCGCTACATACCCTGGACAGTCATCAACATTTTGAAACTTGTAAGCATGAATATATTAGAAGTGTGTAATATATGATTGATTGAAAGTTAAGCTCAAGCTTTGTATAGTAGTATAGCATAATTTTATTATCATCAATATATATAAACAAAGTAAATCAATTAAGAATTGAAGATTTTAATATCATTGTAGGTTTGTGCAAAAATATTTGGTAGTTGAAAAGCAAACTATTTAATGTTATATGCAACACACAGACTAAAGGTGATAATTAGGAAATTAACTATCCAGTATAAAATGTCATATATGTAGATGAATGATTTTTGGTTTTAACTTAATATTTGATTTTTTTTATTTTTGCTATTGATACAGGTTCTTTATTTTAATAAATTATTTCACCATAGATATGTAAATATATTATTGTTTTTATGCTGCTTATTTAGTCAGCTTACAAGGGTTTATTTTTTTTTTCCTTTTGTTTTTGAATTTATAAATTCAGAATGTTTACTCTCTTCTCTGCATAATAAAGAGCTATTACCCCACACTACTACTATTAAGATTCTTGCACATATCATAAGCTTTTAACTCTCTCAACACGGGCTCAATCAATTTTACCGACCACGTCACATCTTTGTGCTTATTCAAAGTCTTTATAGATTTGATACTTCTAACTTTCAATATAGTCTGTATATCTTCACGAAATTTGGCAGTCTTTCAGTAAACATTATATGTTTTTCACATACAAAAAATCATATTTTTTAGTGAAGTATTTTTAATAATCTAAAAAAAAATTGTCCTTGAATATATTGAGTATTTGTTTTGAATAGTCCGTTTGCAAAGTGATTTTCACCTTAAAATTATAAATACTTTTCTTCATCTCAAAAACCTCAAATTTCATTTGTATAATCTCTAAAACTTCCTAAATACATTTCAAATGTTTGTTTTCAGTAAAATTTTATATTTTATCTGTTATTTTCTCTACCCTAACTATGTACAAGGTTGGTCAATTTGACTGACCTTGTAACCACCAAAGAATCTAATTAAATTATTAATTACCCTCTTTTTCTTTCTAAAATGACTACAAATGTGATGTGAAACTACATTCATTTATCCTAAGTAGCTTCAAACTTGTAACAGTATACAGCTATTTATAATTAAATTTTATTGTTTTATTGCCTTTTTGATTGCCCCTTTGATCCATGTCTAACTACTATTCACGTCATTATAAGTTGTAAATCATTTGGGGAACATGCAGGTTATGTTATGCTATCGAATTACATTACCGACGAGCCGCTTTGAGCTGCTCGCATGCTTGCCTTGTTATTATTATTGTTTATTTTACTAACCTTAACTAACAAAAATAGATCCATATTTTTAGATTTTAGTTACTGTTATAATGATAAATAAACATGAAAAACAAGTTACCCGAGTAGCTGTCAACTACCTTACTTTTTTCATATTAATGGTAGTAGTGCATCAAATAATTTTTATTTAATTAAATAATATACCAAAGAACATAGAATAATAACATGCAAAAAGTAGACAATTTCCCCTAACTCTCAAAACTTTTCTGTCTTTCTAACTATGCAACAAGAACCATTAAAAATTCATCCAAGCTAGTTGTTAGCCTTCCCACAGGAACAGAGCTTGTACTCTGAGTGAAAATGATGATTATCTGTTCAGAACATGATTTTATACATTACATCATTTGATAGATGAAAACTTTGGCTTTCTATTGGTTATAGGTAATATATAATTAAACGTAAAAGAGAACTATTAACAAATACTGAAAGAGGGGATGTGACAGGAGGGGTCTGATTTTCTGTTTGATAGCTCTGTAACCAAACAAAATTGAAGGCTATAAAATTATGGTTTGTCTGAGCAATGACAATTTTATAGTGAGTAATTTGCATTTAATTTTGTACTTATTGACAGGGTGGTGGATAAAATATAGAAGATACCTAGAGAAAATGTGTCACATAGGTAACACTAGGGGAAATTCAGGATTTTTTTTAATATTGCATTACAGAAGTAAGAACTTAAAACTTACGTACTATTAAAATATGGATTATTAGTTAAGATTTTATGCTATACTAATTGATATAATATAAAAAAAAGTATTTTAATGAAATTTTTAATGTAAGACACTAAAACCTTGTGTCAAGCGCAGTAAAGGATACCTGTGGCAATAGGATTAACAAACAAAACTCTAATCCCTACACATATTAACATATTAATGTGTATTGTGCCAACCAACGATTTAATCATCATTAGACTATATCCCTCTACCAGTAGGAGGTCAACACTTCTTTTACACACAGTAATCACCATGAGCACTAGCATTTGGAAAGGCTCATTCAACTCTTCAGCACTGCTTTGTTAAGATATGTTGTTTCTTAGGAATTAGCAATATTTTGGTGCTTAATAATTTCTAGCTTTCTCAACCATTCATAGTGTAGTCTTTCTTTAATTTTCTTGATTACATGAAAAAAAGTTCAAACTTTGATTTCAGTAACATTACTTTTATTTTAATCAAATTTGTAATTTTGATACACATGTCCCATTGTCTGTGATAAGATTTTTTGACAGTACTAGTTTTTGTTGTTTTAGCATAGTCTTCAATGTTATCATCAAGCCAATAACCTGGATTATGCATTCATGTTTTCACATTTCTAACATTTACTGAGGTTCTAATACTCCTGAGCAGGAGTCATCAAATGCTGAATGACAACTAGAGGCTCTCTGACATTCAGTGATATTACCACCTTTATGTATCATGGTGTTAGTTCCTTTCAGATCTTGGATCCAGGATTTTCAACCTCCTGCTTCTTTTACTTCAGCTAAGATTGCCCAGTTTTTTAATAAGTTCCACCATTGTCATTTCCATGCCTGCTTTTGCTTCTAGTTTCCTCTTCCAAGCGAGGATCAGGTAATCCTATCTTCATTGCTTGATATATACAGGTATATGTCTTTTGTTTTCTCTTTCTTATAATGTAGTTACTAAATCACAGGCTACCTTGTTGCATGAGGCATCATTACTTGAATGTAATTTTTCAGTTTGAAATCTTCTCTTTTTCCTTTTTTTGTTCTTCTCTGTCATACTCTCCAAACATGCTTCCCTTTCAGCTGTGGGGGCATTATAATGTGACAGTCATTCCTGCTATTTGTTATTAAAATAATAGCCCAAGAGTTGGTGGTGGGTGGTGATGACTAGCTGCCTTCCCTCTAGTCTTTCACTGGTAAATTAGGGATGGCAGATAGCCCTCATGTAGCTTTGCTCGAACTTCCAAACAAACCAAACCAAACTTACTCTCCATCTACTTGTCTCCTTCCCTTAGTTACTCAATTTCATTACATTCTGTCCATGCTTAAAGTTCTTTTCCTGGCTTTACAGCACAACTCTGGAAAACTGACACATATGAATTTTTCACCTTCACCTCAATTTTTTTCATCCAATGTGTCCCAGTTTGGTTGATTTCTTTGTTCCTGGGAATTGCTTAGTTGGTATTTGCCTCCTTCAGTTTTATTTCAGGGACCTCATTCCTTTGAGATGAGGTCTTTAGGGGTGTTTCTTATGATTTGAAAAGTTGAGATGAGGCTGATTACTTTGGTTTCCCAACTTTTTTGATCCAGGATACCAACAGGTTTCTTATCATTGGGAATCTTGTCAGGTTGCTCCCTCTCCTGTTCCTCATCCTCTTGCTCATTTTTGACATCCTCCTCTCTCAGAGGACTGGCTGTTGAAATTCAAGGAGGTGACTCATATTTGGAATAACTTCTCTGTGTACCTGTAAATACTCTTTTTACAGGCAGTCTTTGGGTTGCACAAGTACTTTCACATAGACTTTCTATGTCTTTTCACACTCAAACTTGTCTGTCTTCTTCACCAGTTGTATTTTCACTCCCTCAGATCTCATGCATCTTTACAACTTTATGAAGCATGTGTCTTCTCTACTGGTTATGAATGCCATTGAACTGGTCCTCAACAACTATCAAGGTTTTTATGCCCATCTTTATTTTGTCCTTCCCAAGAAGATAGGAAATTGGCACTCTGTCATTAGATCTTTTGTTCTTGAACCACTTTTTTGTCATCCCTTGATTCAAAATGGTCAGTTTTATCATTATAAGATGAGTGTTCTCTCCCAGTCAATGTTTTAGATGTTCATCTCCATATCTCACTTTGTCCTTCATGTTCTTCAATTCTTCCACAACAATTGGAGTTTTCAGTTCCATACCCTTCCCTTTTGGTCACAAGTGCATTTGCACAGAAAATGTATTCTTTGTGTTTCCATTGCCACTACTATATGGAGAATTGGCTCCTTCTTGCTCCATCCAAAGAAACTCCCATGGCTGTACCTTCCATTCTCCTTTTGGAGACATCTCACTCCAAGTATGTGTTGACCCCCACTCAGTATCTGATTCACTTGGGAGTCTTTTTCAACTCACTTGCAGGGCTTAAATATTTCCTTTCGAAGACAACATGGAACTTCTGATTAACAAAGCTTTCATGACTCATTCCCTTTCTGCATCAGCAATTCTATCTCTTTTGTGGACATTGGCTTCACTCAAGTCCCTTGTTCCTTTTAGATATGCCCATATGCATCCCCTTCAGTGGAATTTGACAGTTCAATAGAATATGTCTAGAGCTTCCTTGTTGTCTCTTGTATCTCTCCCTACATCTCTTCACTTTTTGCTATTGTGCTAGCTTGATTGGTCCCACATAACACTGGGCATTTTTTTCCCTATCTCTCCCAGACCTGCATATGTTCACCAATGCTTCTTTCCAGGTAGTGAGCTGTTCTGGACAACTATACTTTTTCATGGGTATACACTCTAGGGGAGTATCCCTTCATATCAATGTTCTTGAACTGTTGGCTACTTATCAAGCTCACCATCATCTTCAGCCTCATTTGTCTGATTATCGTATGATGATCCATTTGGACAACACTGTTGTGTATTATGTTTACTGACAGGGAGGTACTCAATCTTGGGATCTCTAGTTTTTCTTTTTTTTGAACCCATGACCACCACATTCAGCTGTTGGCTTGTCATATCCCAGGAACATTGAACCTGCTGGCAGATTGACTGTCTTGTTTGAACAAGATCCTTCAAATGGAGTGATTTCTCCATCCACATGTATTTCAATGGATATGTTCCCACTTTGGAAATCCTCTCATTGATGCCTTTGCAACTCTCCCAATAACAAATTTCATCTTTTCTGGTCACAATCCCAGACTGCAGTAAATACTCTGAGTCAGGACTGGGCCAGTCTCTTTCCTTTTACATAGAATTTTGAAAATGGTTTATCTATTTCTACACTTGCCAATAACAGGATGGCTTTGTCAAATACCTTCCATCTCTTCCCCAGTCATTTTCCTTTTCTTGCTCATGTCCTTATGGACCTCTTCTGTGTCTTTCTCAGTAGTGGTCCTCTGTGTCTGGTCTGTCTTCTGGACTGAAACCTTTGTTTCATTCTATGGGCTCTCATATATTTCTCATTCAAATCTTTGGCCATCTGTTCCCTGTATCATTTTTCTTTCATGATGTATTTTCTTCTTTTTTTTTTCAAATACATTGGTCTGACATTTTTGCTTAAATATATCCCACACACTTCATCACAGGGACAGGTTGATTTTATTGGCAGACTTCTTTCACCCCAAGGCTCAGGTTGTTCCAATCACCCTCCATTTCAATTTTTCTCTATATGATTGTTTCAGTCCTCATCATTGTCTATGTCCTGTTGAAACAGTTCATTGTTATCTTGCTCATACTGCACTCATATGTGGCAATTACCATTGTCTTTTCTTGATGTGAGATTCTTTTTCTTCTCATAATTTATTACCTTCCACTTTGACCAGATAGGTTCATTAGTTCATCAATCTTGTTTATTCTTTCAAAGGAGAGAACACCTGTCAACCTTATCAGATAATCTCCCATCAGGTTTGTCTTCTCTTGCCCCCTCACTGTCAACATCACCTACATGAGATCTAGTTGATGGGGATGTGGTCAACCCCTGATACACTTGTGTCCTATTATTTATATCACACAGCAGTTTCATTGGCATGTGGGTTTTTCTCCTTCCAGTCACCATTCTCCAATCTTTCCAGAGACTAATGAGGTGACTTATTGTATATTGATGTATATGTAATAAATTCATACTGAGTGGGGGATAAGGTGTTAAGACCATCTGCCCCTGCTTAGTGCCCATTGTTGAG